TTGGGTGATTGCCCGACCAAAGAGAAGACAGTTTTAGGTTCGAACAGCTTTGTTTGCAGACTTCTTCAATGATAGAGTAGGACTCTATCGCCGTCGCTCCTTCGTCGTCCTTCCCCTGTTTTCGACCGCTTACCCGTGTCGGCTTGAATGGGGATTAGGATGTTATGGTGCGGAGGTGTATCGCCCGTTAGGTCAAGCTGACGCTCTTCCCCGGACCACCTTTGCCGACCACTGACTCTTCTGACCGTGCCCAGTTCACTTGCAGGGACCTTCCTCCTGCGTCTCTCGCGTTCCCACTGACTGTTCACTTGTCCCGTGGTATAGCTCTTCGCGTACTCTCACTGACTGTCTTTCCCGGGGTACAACTCCTCGCGTATTCTCACTGACTGTCGCGCGGCCGCGTCGGGACTGTGGCCGTACTCTGCCCAATTATCATCTTGCACGTATGACTTTTGAGTGTTTAGCTGCCTGCATTCCAACCTTCTTCGCTGTTCCTAGGCAGCTCTTTTCCACCTTGATTTTTGGTGAGTTTTAAGAGTCCTCACAAGATCTATACACTTTTGCATGATTTTGAACCACGAGTCGAAGCACTTTTGCCAAAACATGCATTCTGAACATATCTACCGCGTCTTCAGGTGTCGGAAAACATTACCCTCTCATTCTTTTTTGCGTACGGGAATAAAAAGAAGTCATTGGGTGCCATGTCAGGACTATACGGCGGATGACTCATCAAATCGATATTTTGAGTGCTAAAAAATTCAGTTCTTTGAGCCGATGTGTGAGAGCTTGCATTGTCACGATGAGGAATGATTCGGCTTCGGCGGTTGCTTTTCCTGATTTCCTGGAAGACAACTAGCAAGCAAATGGTTGTGTACCACTGAGAGTTGATTATTTTGCGTTGTTCAAATGGTACGATTGCGACATGTCCCGCTTTTCCGAAAAAATGGGATTATTAGCTTGGAAGTGATTCGTGCGCGTTCGATTTCGCTCATCTTGAAACACCGATACAGTCGATTGCTGTTTACTTTCGGGCTCATACGCGTAAATCCACGGTTCATCACCTGTCACGATGTTTTGAACGTGCTTGGAGCATTTCTTTCAACTAATTAACACGAGTTTTTTTTTTGAGCGATTGACAAATTGTGTGGTATCCAACGCGTACAAATTTTGTTGACGGTCAAATGTTCATGAAGTATTGAATGTCGGTTGCCCATGGTTGTCTCAATCTCTCGACATGACCACCTTCCAATATCAGTTCCAATATCCAATAACAATACTTACGCTTCTTTTCTATTTTTTTGGTGATATGAATCTTTTAAGTCACTGTAAACCACACAATTAGGGCTCGTATTTCAAAAAGTTTTGTACGTATTATATACTATGTCAAGCTTTACGATAGAGTAATCCTAGGGTTGTCCATTCCCAAAATATAAAAAGCAACCCTCGTATAGCTGTACAAGTTAATAAATCAAAAATAATATGTATAACACAATAATTGGTACAGAACGAAACCATTATCAAGAAATTACAAACTGTAATTCTTGGGGAGACATCCCAAAACATCAAGGCAAAACTGTCCACAGCAGAACAGAGAAAACTCCTTGAATCCTCGCTTGTAGACGAATGCATTCCTGCTGAACACTCTAATACTCTAATTACTATAGAGGCTATAACAGGATTAAGCGTGCTGAGCACAAAAGCATTAAGACCGTAATAAAATCAGGAACTTGTACCACTATGGAAGCAGCAAAAAGCGCATACATAAGAATTACTACAGGAATCACAGGAAAATACAGTAATTTTTACAAGGAGAGGTAATTCTAGCCACGGCTATGGTTACAGAGGAGCAGCCGTGGTAGAGGAAGTCATTTCAATAGCCGCAATAAAGGTAGCAGATACAATAACAGCAATAATCATATTCATAACAATGACTATAGTTATAGAGGTCGTGGTACATCATACAGAGGCAACCACCACAACAATCAGAACGGAAACGCTACCCAGAATACTTTGGGAAACTCACTCAACCCTTTAAATACAGAGCAGTAAATCACAGAGTGGTTCCACTATCAATTTCAACAAAAGCAAAAGTATCCCTTACAAATGTTTTATATGTAGACACAGGTGCTGATATATCAAAATTAAAAGAATGTCTTGCGATTTGTTCAAATTATATATTATAATAGATATTTAGGGAATAAGTGGAACAGTCAAATCAAAGTGGTTAATTTTTGTGGAAATAAAAAATGATAAATGCATAATCCCACATAATTTTTATATTGTATATTTGGAATTCACTGTTCAGTGTGACGGAATACTAGAAATCGATTTCATTATAAAATATTCAACTATTAATTAGATTTAGAATCAAGCACTAAATATAGCGATCTATTTGGTCTAGAAACCAAATCATTAACTACAAATAATTTGTATAAGCAAAAGTTGAGATTGAAGGATGATGAAGTATATATTATATATATTATATATTATATAGTATAGTATATAGTATATATTATAACAAATTATAGAAATCCTCAAAGCCAAAAAGATAAGATGGAAGCTCACGTACAGAAATTAATTAACAATAAAATAGGTGATCGCTCCGTATCACCTTAAAATAGCCCACTTCACTCCAGAATCAAAAAAGAAAAAATGCCATTTAGTAATATCGTCAAATTAATAAACCCAAATATTTTTCGTGTCTTTATTTAATGTCAGCATTTCACCATTTATAATTTAAAAAAAGGTCAAGAGATATAACGTATATCTTTGGAAGTATTTCAATAGATTCAGTTAAAACAACTACGTATTCTAAAACTCCAATGACCGTTACTGATACCCCAGAACACGCTTTTGATAGAATAGTGGTATATACAATTGGTTCTCTACCAAAATCAAAAAATGGCAATGAAATGCAGTCACTCTCTTTTGTGACTTTAACAAATACTCAACAAATGCACAAAAACTGTCTCTAAAGTGATATATTTTTTTATTCTGAAGTACTGTCCAATATAGACGTTTATTACAGACATGGAACAGAATAAAAATTCAGTAATAACTGACTTGTGCAAATACTTAAAAATTAAAAATATAACATCCACTGCACACAACAGCCTTATATTTGAAGTAGTCGAAAGAAGTCATAGGACTTTAAATAAGTACATACGATTCTGCATATCGGTTTATAAAATTAATTGGGACGTATGACTCCAATATTTTGTATACTGCTACAACACGTTCCGACAACACATAACTATTGTTTATATCATCATTAAATTTACCGAAGCAGTTTAATAGTGTAGGTAATATAGAAGTTATCTACAGTATAGAGGATTACGCTAATAAAAATAAATATTGAATGTAGCAAACAAAAGAGCAAGAAATACGCTTGCAGAGCACCAAAAAAGAAAAAAATAAACGACTTTATTATTTAAATAGAGAAAATATAAAATAAAATATAATAGGGAAATTGCAAAAAACTTTTTGTTAAAATATGATTGTGTGTCTGTGTAATATAGCTGAAAGCCGGTGGAGTCTGGGTAAGGGAATATTTTAATTGTGTTTATTAGTGAGCAGTTAATGGGTATGTGAGATATGAATAATATTTGGTTTTTTGGTATCATTGTATCAATACCATTAATCCCAGTGACTGTTTAAAATATTATGGCTTATAATAAGTTTATTGCAGTAGTTTGGAATTAAACAGTCCCAGTCGGGAAAGTTGGATTGTCATTTCCAAATCTTCTATGTATTCTGTACTCTGCATGAGTTCAAATAAAAGAGTGTTAATGATGCTGTTGTCCTTTTCAAATTTCCGTATCTTTTGCATTCCGTCATTTATTATTCGTATAGCGTCGTTGAGTTCAAGTTTCTCTTGTATGTCTACTCGATCGTTTTCATCATTTTATCTTGTTTTTATCTGAAACTGATCTGCTGATTTCCTTTTTAATTTGACCTTCCTTTTTTAAATTCGGCGGCAGTGGAGCAAATACGACAGCGATGATGATCATCTTAGGATGCAGGATGCAGGGTAACATCCCAGGCATCGCAAAACAGGCGCACTCTTAAAAAAAACTTGATAGAATTCGATTTGATTTGTAGAACTAACATTTGATATTGACTCAGAGTTTGTCAAAGCCTTGATATAGCACCAATAGTATACGATAACTTTCTTTAAAAAGTAGGAGAACAAGCCATCACCGACCAGAGAAAGGTTAAAGAATCAAACTTGTTCTTGTATTGCGGTTTGCGCAAGTCCGTGACTAGTTCCTTTTTTGTCAGTGCATAAGCAACTCAGAACCCGACGATGGTGCTGCTGCTGTGGATGCTGCTGTCCCTGCTGGTGTTTGGAAACGTCCCTGTTCATATGCAAAACATTTGCGTTGACGCAAAATCAAAACATCACACAGGATCAATTACAACTAATGATATAGAGACGAGGATGCCAAGAGAGATCGGGATCACTGGACGGCGATGGAGTTGCAGATGGTGATGGGTTGGGCAGGGAGGTGGAAATGGAGCTCGAGTTGGTAATGGAGATGACAGCTTGACTTGGCTGACAGCTGAGATGACGTCGCCACATCTGGGACCCGTGTGCTAACAAGTTGCACCCCGTCTGAAATTGCCCAATTGATGATGAGTTCCGCGAGCGCATAATACTCCAGCCATCTCACTGTGGCGGCTGAGATAATAGCGCCCCACTTATCAATTAGAGAAATTTCATTACCAAGAGCTATGTCTATTTACAGTGGAATTTGGTATCAGGCTATTAAGCCGTCTAACATCCATTACGCCCTATGAGGGCAAATGTAATATGCTTTATGCTAAATTCATAAGAAGTAAAGTTGTAGTATGCATATGTATGTATATCGCTATAGCGCGTAACCTCTATGGCAATGGCAATCACATGTACATATGTATGTGAAGTGCAAGTGTCAGCATACTCCCCTGCAGTTCCATACACTCTTAAACAGAGCAATATCATCGCTATTAATCACCGCTGTTTGTGTGCACTTTAACATTTTATTATTACTAAAAATGGTCCCACGGAGTTTGGGCCAGCTTCGTTTCAGTTGTTAGAAAATGGGACTACATGTTCAATTAACCTCTAAAAAAAAATATTAGTGTATTAATATATACAATATGTATGAATAAAATTTACCTTAAATGAGCCCTTATGTGGGTTGTATTTGTTGTTCCTCATAAATTGAATTCATTACGTTAATTATTTAATAAATTAAATTCGAAAATAATTCAAAACATAAATTCATTTAATTTAAAATAATTTACCATTTTCTTAGAAAATTGGCACTCAACAAAAATCAAATCACAAGTGACCCCGCGATAAAGAGTGCTTGCCTTTTAAAAAAGGAATCCGTTAATCTATTTCGATCTCTTTTTGTCATTTCCCTTTAGCGCGTTCCCGTCCATTTTACTTCCATACCTTTGCCTTTGTATGCCACAAATTTCTTACGATGCCTATGCGCTTATTGGGAGCGCTTAGCAGTCGGATAGAATAAATGAAAAGGCGATAATTGTGCTTGAAAAATCATCACAATTTCATCGATTGATTAAGCACATTATCATTCCATTTTCATCGCCTTAAATTATTAGGAGACAGATCGCGCGCGAGAGTGCAGTCGAAGCAGTTGGCTCAGTAGCGATGAACTGTGGAACTGCAGGATATATATGAAATATACATATGTATAAGAACCCCGCTCCTCTGCTGACGACACCGACAGCACGGCTCTGCGGCATAGGAAAAGAGAACTTTCTGTAAGAACATTTTGACATTGAACATTTATCATCAATGGGAGCACGATAATGCCCAATCAATTAAGTGAATAAATCAAAACAAATATAAATTTAAGGGCTTTTAATTCCACAAAAGTAAATCAGTCCCATTTTTAGTCACTTATCTTCAGAAGACTTCCGACTGTATTTATAGTAACTTACTTGAACCATAACAGCAATCCGAAGGTTATCCTTAGGAATGGAACTTTTACATCCTTTACAAGCGGCTCGTCCAGTTCTAGCATATTCGGCAAGATAAGGTAATTCAATATCCATATTCTAGTTTGAACGTATTGTGGCCAATTTCGAAATAATATAAACATGGACAATATACATATATCGAATTATGTATTTTCGAAAACAATAAATTTGTATATCGAAGATAAAGACCAAAAAATATTGTTATACTCGATCTCCAATGATTCTAAAAACTCATGCCGTTAGAAAGGTGTATACAGTTAAAATATAAATGTAAAAGTGCTAAATTAGATACATAGTTATAGAATTTGAAAACAGTCTAATTCTGTTTTGATTATACATTTTCTATTTTAAGAAGGAAGTGTAGTCATCTCGGCGATTAAGATTAACATTTGTGTCTGTTAAGTCTCTTCGTTTCTCTAGTTTTATTTTTCTTTCAAAACCCAATTAATAAATGACACCTTCCCAAAAATGCTGGTTTGCGGCGAAAATTTTACATTCATTAACCAAAGACAGTAGAATAATAAGATGCGTAACGGCCATACATTGGTTTTGCAGTATGCAGCCACATTTTTGGTGGCGGCAGTAATTGCTCTCTTCCTGCTCGCATAAAATTGAGAGCATAAAAATCTAAAAATAGAATTCACTTGCTTGTATGAGTGAAAATAGTAAACAAAAAAGTGTGCATGTGATCCGAAATCAATTTTGATCTAAGAAACGAATTTGATTAATGTTTTGGTCAATTTAGTTGTAATATGACCTAAATATTATTTAAAAATTGATGCCGTGACTATTATTTTTTTTAAGAAGTTTTAATATTCTTTAGTTAAAATCGCCGCTCGAATTAGCTAACGTTTACATATAAATATTTTTATTATTATCTGTAATATATGTATTTTTTGGTATCCACCACGGGGAGGACATTACAATTGTAATGGGGTCGTGTATTTATATGACCTTCGAGTCGACTTGAAATAATAAATGTTAAACAATAAAATATTTCCATGTTCCCCAACTAAGCTAGTTTTTTAACTTTTGCTTTTCGATATAAATTGCTCCTTTTTTTTAATGCATTTTAATAAATTTTTGTACTATATATATATACATATATGTATATATTTATATTTAGTCGTCACTAATTTTTCATTTATGAGATAGAATGCTGAGTTTTGCTAGCTTTTTTTGTTTATCAGCTGTCACAGTCCACTTGCAATGCTTAAAAAGTAAAACTTTTATAAGTTTGTTTAAAATATCAATTTTATGCACATAACAGTCATTATTTGAGTGAAACCATAATGAGTGAAACCATACGCTGTATGCGTACAAGAGAGCTGCTGGCTCTAGAGCGCTCTCTCTCTGGCCCTTGAACAAAAATTCGAGAGAGCCTGGAGCCAGCCCGAAAAAATCGCGTGCATAAAAATCATATGGCGTTACGCGTCTTATTATTGTAGAGTCTGCATTAACTCTATGAGTAGTAAATATACATAAGTACTTTACTAGTATCCTTAAACGGAAATATCCACGAAGGTGGATTGAAGGACAATGGACATCGGGCTCGTCGACACAATTGAGAAACTCGACCATGCATTACGCACTTTTTTTTATACACTGCACTATGGGGAATTAAACCATATTTTGTTGGCATACATAAATATCTCGTAAACTAGTCTTATACACGCCTTAATAATTATTTTGGCAAAGTGGGTGTGTCGCCACCGACCACCACGCCACCCCCTCCCCCATGAAAAAAAAATATTTTTTTTACTCAATATATTACATTCGTTTGCATGTTCAAATTCGCACGACAACAATTCAGTGACTTCTCGCGGAAGAGGAAGTCGCTTATGTTTTTGAATGCGACTATGAAACTGTGAAATCCTCTGTGAAACATCAGTAAAGTGGAATTCAACTTTGCTTGAATTTCCAAGTATGTTCAAGACTGCCTTCCGACCATACCGGGACGGAATCCAACCTTATCCAGCTTTCTATTGCATATTTTCCATTTATGCAATAATTTAAGATAAAGTGCGCGCGCTTTCTCCCATAAGTAACTCTAATTAATTTCAAAAGTGATGCACTCGGTATGCCCACAAATTAATTTGAATATTGCATTCAGTATGCACCACATGCGCCAGTATGCGCCACACACTTCTACTAGGGCCGCATTGCTAATCGAGAGGTTGCTATATAAAAACTATAAAAGGCCGGACTATAGGTATAATTACAAAATGACTTAATCAAACTCATTTAATCGTTGACTATCAACCGAATTTGCTGGATTGCCTCTGATCCCAACGTAACCGGGTACCCAAGCAGTCTTATAATGGGCTGTATTTGATCAGAGATTTCCGGATGCAAAACGAACAGGTATTAGTTTTCTTTATTGCTTCGAAGGTTGAGAGAGAATCGGAGCAAATAAATTAGTTCCTCTGATTTTCTCTGCTATCTTTACAGCTTCTAGAATAGTAATTGCCTTTGCTGTGAAAACTGACGAGTTGCTAACTATAGTTTGTTTGAGCACATCTTCTTCCGTCGTAAGTGCAAGACCAATAAATTATTTGATCTCTGACGACCTATCATTGTTAAGAAGTGAAATATTATTATCTTTATCTCCTCTTTATCTTATTATCTGTATGCCTTATTCCAATTAACTATTGAGTTGTGATGTTGATTTCGTGATATAATATTGCTTAATTGGGTGTTTATTAGCATGTTATCCATGTTGTATGGGCGCCTCGAAGGCTCAAGTTTGTGTGGAGGTAGAAATCGGTAGGATTTCAAACTAAACATTTAAGGCAATAATCGTTTCTTTGAAAATCTATTGTCTATAAATTTACGACATTTCGCATCGCCTTTTATAAGATTTTTTATTGGTTTTAAAATAACAGGTAGGGTATTTAGAAACTTAAGCCAACTTAAGGCAACAAGGGGCAATTTAAAAAATTTCTGAGGTTCTGAGTAAAATATTGTATATATGTACATACATATATCCGGACCCATAGAAACCTTTTCAAAATATTAGAACCAAATGTGAAGTTTGTAAGACCTTTTTTTTTGCAAAACAGAACACGAAAAAAACTCCTTTTGAAAAAAACTCCAAAAACCAAAAAAAAATATTGAGGCAAATATGCTTGTAACATGCATCGACATTCATTCAAAATTAACTTCCATCATTGAAACAAAAGCCACAGATTGGATTGAAAGTAAAAACTTTTGACTGGAAATGGTTAATATCATAAGTGTGTTAGGATAGATACTCGTAAGGCTCACAGTACCATGTATGCTCCATGTATTAACTTAGGTTGAGGTATGAAACCCATGGTGGCAAACAGAAGCGCAAGATCAAATCCCCGTTATGAGAAAGAACCATATGGTCATCTCGCTCTCACTCATAAGTTTGCACTAAGAGATAAAAATGTACACCTAGCTATCAGGCATACATAGAGATATAGGAGAGCATAAGCAAAAGGCGAATAATCGGCATTAGGTGGCGAGTTCTTGGTTAGATGAGTCGAATAAAGAAGCGACGCATCGGAGTGTTGTTAAGTGTTCACATCAAAAGTGGTTATTACTCAAAAATAAGCATTTGCAAAAATAAGCAGTATACCCAATGAAGTTAAGTTAGAATCTGCTACGAAAAACTATTTCGGGCTGAATAAAAGCCAACTGATAATATTTGGAAAAATCTTGTGTTATATTAATATTAAAAGAAAGAACAAAATGTTATTTTTATTTAAACGTGGTCCCAAACGGTTTTATGAGAAATAATGATGTCCTCGGACGAAATTTTATGAAAGCGTGCCAGTTGAAACTGGATCCAGATGCTTTGGGAAGGGTTACGGTTAACCCATTAGATAGCAAAAGATATAGAAAAACAATTAACAGTTATTAACAGTAATTAGCGAAACAGATATTGGAACGGTTAGTACAACAGTTAATCCTACAATTAGTAAAACGGTTAATCCTTCAGTTAGTAAAACAGTAATCCTTCAGTTAGTAAAAAAGTTATTTTTTAGTTAGTAAAACGGTCAAAAAAACAGTTATTCCTCTAGACAGCGTAACGACGGATCCCACACTTAGTCAGAAATTTCATGCTACAGTTATGCCCAGCTATGAGGAAGCATTTAGAGAAATCTTTAGCATTGATTACATAGAAGATGAGCAAATGAATTACAAGCCTTAGAATGTCAAAAAAAGAGATTATTAAATTCAATTAATTAAGTGTTAGGAGACCTGCCAAACCTTTAGTTAATTGTGAAATAAAACTATGTTTAGAAACGTCAAAACCATTTAGCTGGACCCCAAGAAGACTCGCCTTACTTGGAGAAAGAAAAGGTACAAAAATTGTTAGATGAATATATAAAAGAGGGAATTATACAACCTAGCGAGTCAGAATATGCTTCACCAATAGTTTTAGTAAAGAAGAAAACAGGAGACATACGACTATGCATAGACTTTAGGAAGCTAAACAAAAAGTTAATTAAAGATAATTATCCGATACCGCTCATTGATGACCTCTTAGACAAACTATATAACAAGAAAGTATTTTCAAAACTTGTTTTAAAAAATGGTTATTTTCATGTATTTGTTAATAAGGAATCGGTTAAATACACCTCATTTGTTACACCTTTATGGCAATTCGAATTTCTCGAAATGCCAATGGCATTCGAGGATCTTATAAGGGACAACAAAGTAATTATATACATGGACGACATCATGACCGCCAGCAAGGACACGGTTGAGCATTTAAAAACCTTAAAGAAGGTTTTTCCTAGATTAACTCGAAACAAATTAAAATTAAGAATGGATAAATTTGAGTTTCTTCAGACAAATATTAAGTATTTAGGATTCATTATAAATGGCAAAGGCATTCCGTATCTTTTGCATTCCGTCATTTATTATTCGTATAGCGTCGTTGAGTTCAAGTTTCTCTTGTATGTCTACTCGATCGTTTTCATCATTTTATCTTGTTTTTATCTGAAACTGATCTGCTGATTTCCTTTTTAATTTGACCTTCCTTTTTTAAATTCGCCGGCAGTGGAGCAAATACGACAGCGATGATGATCATCTTAGGATGCAGGATGCAGGGTAACATCCCAGGCATCGCAAAACAGGCGCACTCTTAAAAAAAACTTGATAGAATTCGATTTGATTTGTAGAACTAACATTTGATATTGACTCAGAGTTTGTCAAAGCCTTGATATAGCACCAATAGTATACGATAACTTTCTTTAAAAAGTAGGAGAACAAGCCATCACCGACCAGAGAAAGGTTAAAGAATCAAACTTGTTCTTGTATTGCGGTTTGCGCAAGTCCGTGACTAGTTCCTTTTTTGTCAGTGCATAAGCAACTCAGAACCCGACGATGGTGCTGCTGCTGTGGATGCTGCTGTCCCTGCTGGTGTTTGGAAACGTCCCTGTTCATATGCAAAACATTTGCGTTGACGCAAAATCAAAACATCACACAGGATCAATTACAACTAATGATATAGAGACGAGGATGCCAAGAGAGATCGGGATCACTGGACGGCGATGGAGTTGCAGATGGTGATGGGTTGGGCAGGGAGGTGGAAATGGAGCTCGAGTTGGTAATGGAGATGACAGCTTGACTTGGCTGACGGCTGAGATGACGTCGCCACATCTGGGACCCGTGTGCTAACAAGTTGCACCCCGTCTGAAATTGCCCAATTGATGATGAGTTCCGCGAGCGCATAATACTCCAGCCATCTCACTGTGGCGGCTGAGATAATAGCGCCCCACTTATCAATTAGAGAAATTTCATTACCAAGAGCTATGTCTATTTACAGTGGAATGTGGTATCAGGCTATTAAGCCGTCTAACATCCATTACGCCCTATGAGGGCAAATGTAATATGCTTTATGCTAAATTCATAAGAAGTAAAGTTGTAGTATGCATATGTATGTATATCGCTATAGCGCGTAACCTCTATGGCAATGGCAATCACATGTACATATGTATGTGAAGTGCAAGTGTCAGCATACTCCCCTGCAGTTCCATACACTCTTAAACAGAGCAATATCATCGCTATTAATCACCGCTGTTTGTGTGCACTTTAACATTTTATTATTACTAAAAATGGTCCCACGGAGTTTGGGCCAGCTTCGTTTCAGTTGTTAGAAAATGGGACTACATGTTCAATTAACCTCTAAAAAAAAATATTAGTGTATTAATATATACAATATGTATGAATAAAATTTACCTTAAATGAGCCCTTATGTGGGTTGTATTTGTTGTTCCTCATAAATTGAATTCATTACGTTAATTATTTAATAAATTAAATTCGAAAATAATTCAAAACATAAATTCATTTAATTTAAAATAATTTACCATTTTCTTAGAAAATTGGCACTCAACAAAAATCAAATCACAAGTGACCCCGCGATAAAGAGTGCGTGCCTTTTAAAAAAGGAATCCGTTAATCTATTTCGATCTCTTTTTGTCATTTCCCTTTAGCGCGTTCCCGTCCATTTTACTTCCATACCTTTGCCTTTGTATGCCACAAATTTCTTACGATGCCTATGCGCTTATTGGGAGCGCTTAGCAGTCGGATAGAATAAATGAAAAGGCGATAATTGTGCTTGAAAAATCATCACAATTTCATCGATTGATTAAGCACATTATCATTCCATTTTCATCGCCTTAAATTATTAGGAGACAGATCGCGCGCGAGAGTGCAGTCGAAGCAGTTGGCTCAGTAGCGATGAACAGTGGAACTGCAGGATATATATGAAATATACATATGTATAAGAACCCCGCTCCTCTGCTGACGACACCGACAGCACGGCTCTGCGGCATAGGAAAAGAGAACTTTCTGTAAGAACATTTTGACATTGAACATTTATCATCAATGGGAGCACGATAATTCCCAATCAATTAAGTGAATAAATCAAAACAAATATAAATTTAAGGGCTTTTAATTCCACAAAAGTAAATCAGTCCCATTTTTAGTCACTTATCTTCAGAAGACTTCCGACTGTATTTATAGTAACTTACTTGAACCATAACAGCAATCCGAAGGTTATCCTTAGGAATGGAACTTTTACATCCTTTACAAGCGGCTCGTCCAGTTCTAGCATATTCGGCAAGATAAGGTAATTCAATATCCATATTCTAGTTTGAACGTATTGTGGCCAATTTCGAAATAATATAAACATGGACAATATACATATATCGAATTATGTATTTTCGAAAACAATAAATTTGTATATCGAAGATAAAGACCAAAAAATATTGTTATACTCGATCTCCAATGATTCTAAAAACTCATGCCGTTAGAAAGGTGTATACAGTTAAAATATAAATGTAAAAGTGCTAAATTAGATACATAGTTATAGAATTTGAAAACAGTCTAATTCTGTTTTGATTATACATTTTCTATTTTAAGAAGGAAGTGTAGTCATCTCGGCGATTAAGATTAACATTTGTATCTGTTAAGTCTCTTCGTTTCTCTAGTTTTATTTTTCTTTCAAAACCCAATTAATAAATGACACCTTCCCAAAAATGCTGGTTTGCGGCGAAAATTTTACATTCATTAACCAAAGACAGTAGAATAATAAGATGCGTAACGGCCATACATTGGTTTTGCACTATGCAGCCACATTTTTGGTGAAAATTGAGAAGCATAAAAATCTAAAAATAGAATTCACTTGCTTGTATGAGTGAAAATAGTAAACAAAAAAGTGTGCATGTGATCCGAAATCAATTTTGATCTAAGAAACGAATTTGATTAATGTTTTGGTCAATTTAGTTGTAATATGACCTAAATATTATTTAAAAATTGATGCCGTGACTATTATTTTTTTTAAGAAGTTTTAATATTCTTTAGTTAAAATCGCCGCTCGAATTAGCTAACGTTTACATATAAATATTTTTATTATTATCTGTAATATATGTATTTTTTGGTATCCACCACGGGGAGGACATTACAATTGTAATGGGGTCGTGTATTTAATAATAATAAATGTTAAACAATAAAATATTTCCATGTTCCCCAACTAAGCTAGTTTTTTAACTTTTGCTTTTCGATATAAATTGCTTCTTTTTTTTAATGCATTTTAATAAATTTTTGTACTATATATATATACATATATGTATATATTTATATTTAGTCGTCACTAATTTTTCATTTATGAGATAGAATGCTGAGTTTTGCTAGCTTTTTTTGTTTATCAGCTGTCACAGTCCACTTGCAATGCTTAAAAAGTAAAACTTTTATAAGTTTGTTTAAAATATCATTTTTATGCACATAACAGTCATTATTTGAGTGAAACCATAATGAGTGAAACCATACGCTGTATGCGTACAAGAGAGCTGCTGGCTCTAGAGCGCTCTCTCTCTGGCCCTTGAACAAAAATTCGAGAGAGCCTGGAGCCAGCCCGAAAAAATCGCGTGCATAAAAATCATATGGCGTTACGCGTCTTATTATTGTAGAGTCTGCATTAACTCTATGAGTAGTAAATATACATAAGTACTTTACTAGTATCCTTAAACGGAAATATCCACGAAGGTGGATTGAAGGACAATGGACATCGGGCTCGTCGACACAATTGAGAAACTCGACCATGCATTACGCACTTTTTTTTATACACTGCACTATGGGGAATTAAACCATATTTTGTTGGCATACATAAATATCTCGTAAACTAGTCTTATACACGCCTTAATAATTATTTTGGCAAAGTGGGTGTGTCGCCACCGACCACCACGCCACCCCCTCCCCCATGAAAAAAAAATATTTTTTTTACTCAATATATTACATTCGTTTGCATGTTCAAATTCGCACGACAACAATTCAGTGACTTCTCGCGGAAGAGGAAGTCGCTTATGTTTTTGAATGCGACTATGAAACTGTGAAATCCTCTGTGAAACATCAGTAAAGTGGAATTCAACTTTGCTTGAATTTCCAAGTATGTTCAAGACTGCCTTCCGACCATACCGGGACGGAATCCAACCTTATCCAGCTTTCTATTGCATATTTTCCATTTATGCAATAATTTAAGATAAAGTGCGCGCGCTTTCTCCCATAAGTAACTCTAATTAATTTCAAAAGTGATGCACTCGGTATGCCCACAAATTAATTTGAATATTGCATTCAGTATGCACCACATGCGCCAGTATGCGCCACACACTTCTACTAGGGCCGCATTGCTAATCGAGAGGTTGCTATATAAAAACTATAAAAGGCCGGACTATAGGTATAATTACAAAATGACTTAATCAAACTCATTTAATCGTTGACTATCAACCGAATTTGCTGGATTGCCTCTGATCCCAACGTAACCGGGTACCCAAGCAGTCTTATAATGGGCTGTATTTGATCAGAGATTTCCGGATGCAAAACGAACAGGTATTAGTTTTCTTTATTGCTTCGAAGGTTGAGAGAGAATCGGAGCAAATAAATTAGTTCCTCTGATTTTCTCTGCTATCTTTACAGCTTCTAGAATAGTAATTGCCTTTGCTGTGAAAACTGACGAGTTGCTAACTATAGTTTGTTTGAGCACATCTTCTTCCGTCGTAAGTGCAAGACCAATAAATTATTTGATCTCTGACGACCTATCATTGTTAAGAAGTGAAATATTATTATCTTTATCTCCTCTTTATCTTATTATCTGTATGCCTTATTCCAATTAACTATTGAGTTGTGATGTTGATTTCGTGATATAATATTGCTTAATTGGGTGTTTATTAGCATGTTATCCATGTTGTATGGGCGCCTCGAAGGCTCAAGTTTGTGTGGAGGTAGAAATCGGTAGGATTTCGAACTAAACATTTAAGGCAATAATCGTTTCTTTGAAAATCTATTGTCTATAAATTTACGACATTTCGCATCGCCTTTTATAAGATTTTTTATTGGTTTTAAAATAACAGGTAGGGTATTTAGAAACTTAAGCCAACTTAAGGCAACAAGGGGCAATTTAAAAAATTTCTGAGGTTCTGAGTAAAATATTGTATATATGTACATACATATATCCGGACCCATAGAAACCTTTTCAAAATATTAGAACCAAATGTGAAGTTTGTAAGACCTTTTTTTTTGCAAAACAGAACACGAAAAAAACTCCTTTTGAAAAAAACTCCAAAAACCAAAAAAAAATATTGAGGCAAATATGCTTGTAACATGCATCGACATTCATTCAAAATTAACTTCCATCATTGAAACAAAAGCCACAGATTGGATTGAAAGTAAAAACTTTTGACTGGAAATGGTTAATATCATAAGTGTGTTAGGATAGATACTCGTAAGGCTCACAGTACCATGTATGCTCCATGTATTAACTTAGGTTGAGGTATGAAACCCATGGTGGCAAACAGAAGCGCAAGATCAAATCCCCGTTATGAGAAAGAACCATATGGTCATCTCGCTCTCACTCATAAGTTTGCACTAAGAGATAAAAATATACACCTAGCTATCAGGCATACATAGAGATATAGGAGAGCATAAGCAAAAGGCGAATAATCGGCATTAGGTGGCGAGTTCTTGGTTAGATGAGTCGAATAAAGAAGCGACGCATCGGAGTGTTGTTAAGTGTTCACATCAAAAGTGGTTATTACTCACTATGCCTGACACCATATTAAACCAATACTCGGTGCACTAACTAACATTTGGACACTTCGTGGGACAGTGCCCGGAGCGCAAGAGCGCCAATATCAACAATTATGTAAGACAGATTTTTTTTTCAACCCCATTAATTACAGAATGCCTTATAGACACCGGGAGTCCAATATCATTTGCAAAAATAAGCAGTATACCCAATGAAGTTAATTTAGAATCTGCTACGAAAAACTATTTCGGGCTGAATAAAAGCCAACTGATAATATTTGGAAAAATCTTGTGTTATATTAATATTAAAAGAAAGAACAAAATGTTATTTTTATTTAAACGTGGTCCCAAACGGTTTTATGAGAAATAATGATGTCCTCGGACGAAATTTTATGAAAGCGTGCCAGTTGAAACTGGATCCAGATGCTTTGGGAAGGGTTACGGTTAACCCATTAGATAGCAAAAGATATAGAAAAACAATTAACAGTTATTAACAGTAATTAGCGAAACAGATATTGGAACGGTTAGTACAACAGTTAATCCTACAATTAGTAAAACGGTTAATCCTTCAGTTAGTAAAACAGTAATCCTTCAGTTAGTAAAAAAGTTATTTTTTAGTTAGTAAAACGGTCAAAAAAACAGTTATTCCTCTAGACAGCGTAACGACGGATCCCACACTTAGTCAGAAATTTCATGCTACAGTTATGCCCAGCTATGAGGAAGCATTTAGAGAAATCTTTAGCATTGATTACATAGAAGATGAGCAAATGAATTACAAGCCTTAGAATGTCAAAAAAAGAGATTATTAAATTCAATTAATTAAGTGTTAGGAGACCTGCCAAACCTTTAGTTAATTGTGAAATAAAACTATGTTTAGAAACGTCAAAACCATTTAGCTGGACCCCAAGAAGACTCGCCTTACTCGGAGAAAGAAAAGGTACAAAAATTGTTAGATGAATATGTAAAAGAGGGAATTATACAACCTAGCGAGTCAGAATATGCTTCACCAATAGTTTTAGTAAAGAAGAAAACAGGAGACATACGACTATGCATAGACTTTAGGAAACTAAACAAAAAGTTAATTAAAGATAATTATCCGATACCGCTCATTGATGACCTCTTAGACAAACTATATAACAAGAAAGTATTTTCAAAACTTGTTTTAAAAAATGGTTATTTTCATGTATTTGTTAATAAGGAATCGGTTAAATACACCTCATTTGTTACACCTTTATGGCAATTCGAATTTCTCGAAATGCCAATGGCATTCGAGGATCTTATAAGGGACAACAAAGTAATTATATACATGGACGACATCATGACCGCCAGCAAGGACACGGTTGAGCATTTAAAAACCTTAAAGAAGGTTTTTCCTAGATTAACTCGAAACAAATTAAAATTAAGAATGGATAAATTTGAGTTTCTTCAGACAAATATTAAGTATTTAGGATTCATTATAAATGGCAAAGGCATTAGGGCTGATGATGATATAAACGATTTTTCAACATTGGCAAAACCATTATATAATCTTTTGAGAAAAGATGAACAATTTAAATTTGGAGAAAAGGAAATGAACTATTTTTCGACACTTAAAAAAAGTTAGTGCAGGCACCGGTTTTAGCCATTTATAATTTCAAAGACGAAATAGAGCTGCACTGGGGCGCTCTTGGTTTCGGTTCTGTGTTATGCCAAAAGAAAGAGGATGGGAAATTGCACTCCATATTTTATTTTTCGAAACGAACAACCGTCGCCGAAGCAAAATATCATAGTTTCGAACTGGAAACAATGGCAATTATTCACGCGCTGCGAAGATTTAGAATATATTTGTATGGAAAACGCTTTAAGATAGAAATTTTCTTTCTTTAACGCTTAATAAGATTGAACTTAATCCACGAATAGCTGGGCGGTAGATGGGCGCTAAAGCTCCAGAACTACGACTATGAACTCATACACAGAGAAGGTAAAAGGATGCAGCACGTAGATGCTCTTAGTAGATGCACGAATTTTCTGATAGTAGAATCGAATACGTTGGAAAATAATTTAGTAATATCAAACACCAAGGATCAAAAAATTCATGAAATTAACAAACTGTTAGAGAAAAATGAACATAAGTCATTCGAAATGAGAAGCGGAATAATTTATAGAAAATGTAACGATGGCAGACTTATTATTTTATTTTGCCGCAGACATGGAAGATCATATTCTATATAATGAGGTCGAAAACATAGGTAGAGACAAAATGTTAGATATATTCCTTAAATCTTATTGGTTTCCCAATGCCAAAGACAAACGTGTAAGCCATATAAGAAATTGCTTAAAATGCGTTGCGTTCTCCCCTAATACGGGTAAGGAAGGATTTCTGCATTGCAATCCAAAAGGTAGCAAACCGTTTGAACTAATACATATCGATCATAACGGCCCAGTCGGCTCAGGTAGATCCAAAAAACATATTTTTGTTGTCATCGACGGTTTTACAAAGTTCGTACGTTTATATACTACAATACACTAATACCACTATCCCACTAAACCCAATGCCACTAATACAAGGGAAGTATTACAGCCCTGAAAGACTATATTAGAGCATACAGCAAGCCAAAGTGCATCATTTCTGATAGGGGAAGTTGTTTTACATCGAAAGAGTTTGATGATTTTGTGTTGGAGTTATGCTTAACATTAGCATATAAAGATTGCGACTGGATCACCCCCAGGCGAACGTACAGGTTGAAGAGTCAATACAAGTTTAGGTCCAATGATAGCAAAACTGGTAGAACCAGAGAAGGGTATATATTGGGACACACAGTAATAGATAAAGTTGCTAAATAATACACAACACCGCAGTATCAAGCAAAGCAAAAGTTGATTTGGTTTAGAACAAAGAGGAAAAATAGTAGGCGAATTAAAAGAAAAGCTAGACGAATTATATGGTCGAGTTGTGTGTATCTCTCGTGTCTAAACATGTGTTTAGACATGATAAGTAGACAAACTATAAATAATATATTAATTTATGTAGATCACTCTAAAGGATTGACGCATCGGAGCACATTTATTATATATAATAAATTATATTATATATAATATATAATATAATAAATATATATAATAAATATATAATATATAATAAATTATATTATATATAATAGGTTGGCAAATATCTCCCCTCCGCTTTTTTTGCTCATTTTTCAATGCTTTATAAAGTGATCGGATTTAGTTCAAATATGCGCCGTTTTGTTCGATAATCTGTTTCCATCTAGACGGCAACTTCATAATACCTCCCTCGTAGAAGCCCCCTCCTTATTTGCGAAGAACTCGGACAGCCACTTTTCACAAGCCTCTTTTGAGTTCAACTTTACACCACCAAGGGCATTCGCCATGGACAGGAACAGGTGGTAATCACATCCGAGCTCCCGTAGCTTCTGACGAGTCATTAACGAAGTGTGTGGTCTGGCGTTGTCCTGGTGGAACACTACACCCTTCCTGTTGGCCAATTCTGGACGCTTCTGGTCGATCGCCTGCTTCAAGCGGTCCAGTTGTTCGCAGTAGATGGTAGAATTAAGCGTCTGGCCATATGGGAGCAGCTCATAGTGGATGATTCCCTTCCAATCCCAATCCCCAAACACACAACAAAACCTTCCTGGCCGTCAATCCCGGCTTGGCCACTGTTTGGGACGATTCACCGGCCTTCGACCACGACCGTTTTCGCTTGATATTGTCGTATGTGATCCATTTTTCGTCGCCAGTCACCATCCGCTTCAAGAATGGGTCGAGATCGTTCCGTTTCAGCAGCATATCGCAGGCGTTGATTCGGTCCAGAAGGTTTTATTGCGTCAAATCATGCGGCACCCAAACATCAAGCTTTTTTTTGTATCCAGCCTTCTGCACATGGTTTAAAATGGTTTGGTGACTAACTCCCATCTCCTGGGCGATGTCACGAGATGCCACATGCCGGTCTAACTCGATGTATTCCATGATTTGATCGGTATTGTCGTCACAGGTCTTCCGCCGGCTGGCTTATCCATGGTGTCGTTTTCACCGGCTCTGAATCGTCGAAACCATTTCTCCGCGGTTCGAAGTGATAGAGTACCATCCCCCAAAACACCATTAATCTCACGGAAAGTTTCTCTAGCGGATTTGCCTTTAACGAAGGAAAACTTTAAAATAGCGCGAATTTCGGGGTTAGTGAACTCCATGTTTACACGTCTATAACTGTTGAATATCCGAACTAATCATGCATAGCGTCGTTTTGTAGGTTATGTCAAGACCTTTCAAATTATGTATAGTATTGCCAGATACGAGCTTAGCGAGATGTAGCGCTTTGTACATAGCCGCGAAATTCAAAAGACAAAAAGGCGGAAGGGAGATATTTGCCAAACTAATGTATAGATAGATATACATATATATATATATACTGTGACATATCCATAAGTCCCTTAGACTAAAGCGTATGCCTACTTAGCATATATACAATTATAACCAACACACACAACACTACCCTTTATGAGCCAATCAATACCAGATAAGAGCCAGACTGTCATATGAATACAGGATAGAACTGAGACAAATCACTCACTGGTAGACTTAACATCTATTGCCTAATCTATACATTTCTTGCCTAAGCCCTCTCACAATTGTCACGTTCCCACGCTCAAAGTTCGGACTCGCAAACTCGGATACAGAAGTTATAAATTTCAATAAAAAAAATCGTAAGAATCTAAGAGCACTTGTCTCGAAGAGCGAACGCACTTGATCCAAGAGAAATGCAAAGATAATTAGAATCACTAATTCCAAAGCTCTCTCTAAACCCTAAAATCCGAAGTCCATATTTGAAAAGCTCGTGACCGAGGCTTAAACGTCAATTAATCCAGATCCATAAGTTAAGTTCAGTTTCAGACCTAAATTAAGAAGGTCGGTGTTCTTCAAAACATAAAAATTGTAATTATTCAGTTCTTTAAAATTATATTTTTATAATTAATAATAATTTAACTTATGAATATGGCATACTTATAATTATATAAATTATTTATTTCCTTATGGTCCAAATGTCCTCCAGTTAAGTGGCTCCGGCAGAAAGAAAATACAGAGAAACGGGAGAATTTACCCTAGCTCCAATGCATCACGCCATGAACTCATGGTAGGCAAGTCGACTCAGCATTTGTGCAGCGCAATGCGGTTCCCCGGATAAAGGAAATTTCCGATTTCTGTCGCTTAGCGCGGAGCGCTGAACTTGATTTGGGGGCATCAGAATTTTATACAAATCTACTTAGTTGCTAGGGCAAACATACATGTATGCGTATTACTAGTTGTTAACTTATATACGTGTATGGTATGGTATGTATGCTTATCCAATTACTTGATGTTTTTGATTTTATTGTTGTTTCTTTATTTTTTTCTGGCATTTAAAAATTGCATAGTTACACTATTTTCTGTTGTTTGTCTTGTCAGCTGTAATTATTAAAAATTTAATTAGTTGTTTATCATTGTCAGTGCACTGCTCATTTAAGCGGACACCGTCTTTTATATGTTACCGATATGGAATACACTATTACAATTTATTATTACAATAAAACATGAAACCGGGAGATTTATATTGAGACAGAGAAAAAAAGGGTATTAATTAACTTGGTAGGAACATCTTACAATTTTCTATTTTGAACATTAAGGGGAGATGAAAAAAGTTAGTTAAACTTAAAAACGTAGGTCATATAATTGAATTGAAATCAGAAGATTTAAAAGAGTTGTTAATATAATAAATAAACAATCCGAAGATATAAATCGATTTGTAAAAAATAAAAAAAAGAAAAGACGATTAAAATATTTGTAGGTATTCTTTATACATCTTTCTTGAATATATCGAAGATCAATAAATGAGTTTAACAAGGTTAAACTCGAGGAGTTAGAGAACAAAAACGAAATTATTATCAATCAAACCTTTAGCTTGGTTAGGGAGCCAGCATTTTATTAAAGACTTAATTTAGAGAAACACAATATAAATGATAACTATAAACATTTTATGAATATGAAAAAAATTACTTTTTATTTTGGACCAAAAATTTATTTATTTATCATAGATCAATGTTTCTCTCAAGTCCTTACTAATCAATACGCATGTCAACAGACATGGTGATCACACTAACATGATTATCACATATAATTTAAGTGAAACTTACATTTAACAGGGTTGTGAAATCTACAAAACAATACTGGGCAACATATTATAATAATAAACTTTAAAATTTGCAAATAAGCTTTTTTTAAATTTAAGACGGATGATAAATCATGTAAAGGTGGGACGATTTGGTTCGACGGCACCGTAGTGGAAATCATTTTACACGCCAAACAACTTTTTGTTACACTAACGACCACGTTACACTTTTGAAAAGTATTTACATTTTTATTTATTCATAGAGTTAGAGTCGGCGTGACAGTTGTGACAATTAGAATGGGCGTGGCACTAAAATGCAAAAATATATTTGAAATTAGTGTTTCTTAGGTGCTTTTGTCCACTGGTCCTGCCTCAAGAAGTAAACTTTTCAATAAACAGATTTCATATTTGTATTTATTTTATAAATATCAATTTTTATATATGAATTATTTCTATAACATTTATTTTAATTTTTTGAAAAATGTATATAAAATTACCATAATAATTTGATTTTACCTATGAAGTTTTTTGAATTATTTACTATATTTACAAGTACAAATTCCAGTATACAAGTTACTAGTAAAAGTAAGCAGGAATACCTAAGGAACGTTAAATATTACGGGAATAGTATCAATATATCTTGATGGCTTAATTCAAACTACTGAAGCTATAGTTGAAGACCGCTTTTTCTTTTTAGGACTCTCTTACAAATAATTTTGCGTACGTTCGAGGAAAAGAAGGAAACTGTAGAAACCCTTCAGTTAACGATTTTAATATGATAATTGCCAAACTACACATTTTTAAATTTTCACAAAAGTCGAATTGCGAATCAGATGATGATGGTAATGTTGCCAATGGAGTTCGATTCAATAATATATCAGCCTTGCCTTGAAAAAAATGAAAAAAAGAAGCAAGAGTATTCTGTATCATATTCAGAAATTGTACAAGGCACTAAGAGCTACTTTGGCAAAAATTTTGATGATTTTTTGTGCAATTACATTGCACATTATGTACCCATTGATTTTACTTGATTTTACAGCTTCATCAGAGCTTATCATACATGAGAAAAACTACACGATAAAATCTTTAAATTGATTTTAAAGATTTAAAATTGATCTTTAAACAAACTTATTAAAGCTATATTTTTTAAGCATTGAAAGTTGGCTGTGATTGCTGATAGAAAAAAAACTAAAGTGAGCATTCTATCTCATAAATGAAAAAGTTAGTGATAATTCCTACATGTTAAAAATAATGAAGTATAATATAATTAATAAAAAAAGGAGCTTATTAGCATGTTAAGGATATTACAACGAAACTTTTTTAATAATAGTTTATTAGACCATATTCGTTTCTAAGATCTAAGTTGATTTCGGACCGAAAATCGTCTTCTAGCACACGCGCACATATACATTTTCTTGCTTACTGTTATGAATCATACAAGCAAGTGAATTCAAATTTTAGATTTCTAGCTTATGCTCTGAATTTTACGCAAGTAAACCAAAAAAGTTGTACAAAACCAATGTATGCCTTTTAAGCACCTTGTTATTCTAATGTCTTTTCTTTTACTCTACGAGTGACGCTTATAAAAATCGAATGGCGTTACCCATTTTAATACTCTAAGGCTTGCATGACTGTTATTGTTTTCATTTTAGCCAAAAAACTATTCAAGCAAAGCAGTTTCTACGTGCTCTACAAAATCGAACAATTTAGAGTTTTATGCGATTTCAGGAACCATGGTTGATATGGGCCATATTAGCGGATGAACTCACGTAAGCATTTTACTTCTTTTTTTTTTTGGATATTTATTCTTTAAATAGTTTAATTAAACTTATTTTGTTATTTTTTGATAATTGTGTGTTTTTGATAGTTTTATTACTGAATAATATTTGAATGTAAGCTTGAGAACAAATAAAAGAATACAATGTGGTGCCGCTTTCTTTGGGTTCTTAGATTCAAACAATATGACACCTTAGAACACTTAGCTGTTTTTAAAGCTAAACAAGATAAAATGCTATAGTCGAGTTCCCCGACTATTAGATATCCGTTACTCAGCTAGTGGAATTGCAAAGATAAAATTTCAAAATTTTCTGGAATATCAGTAAAAACTGGAAAAAAAATAATAAAATGAAAAAATATTAAAAGTGAAGACCTAGGAGTTTTGAGCGGTTTGTGGGCGTTGGAGTGGGCGTGGCAAAAAGTTGTTTGGAAAATCTATAGAAATTTACAAGATATATAAAAAAGGGAAAAAAATCACTTTTTTCAAAAGTGTGGGCGTGACAGTTTTGAACGATTTGTGGGCGGTAATGTCAATATTCTAGCTTTTGTAGTCCCTGAGATTGAGACGTTCATACGTACAGACAGACGGACATGGACTCGGTTATTGATCCTGATCAAGAATATACATATATACTTTAATGGTCGGTTCCTTCACCTGTTAAATACTTTTCAATGAATCTAGTATACCCTTTAACTCTACGAGTAATAGGTATAAAAATCAAAACATTTTTCAAATATGTAAAATTTATATGACTAATTTCCAAAAAGTGGGGGCGTGTCAGTTTTGGGCGGCTTAGGGGCGAGTAACGGGCTACATCATCTATATCAGCTACAGCTACTCAGCTATATATGTAGAACACCTCTAAATGGATTTTCCTAGTTTTTGAGGCTGGATCAATTTACAGAGCAGCTCCAATAGATTATAATATATTTACGTTCGATTAAAAAAAAAATGGTCTGCCTATAATTTACAAGGAAATTTTAAAGATTTTTTTGAGTCCAAATTTTTCTCCAAATTCTCTCCGCTTTGCTCGGGTCCAAGGTCCATCATTTCCCGTTTGACCTGGTTTCCCTTGACTCCTACTCCATTCCAGCCTTCTTTGCTGTTGCTATGCCGCTCTCCTGCACATCAATTTGTGGGGAGTTTTAAGACTCCTCACATGGTGCACGTATATACATATATAAATGTATAATTCTAACTTCATGAATAGTAACACCCTGGATACAACACGTCGAGATCTTATCCGCCAGGATTAGAGTGGGGTAAGTTTGACGGAACAAAGATTTACATTATATCTCTTGAACTTTTTTAAATTCTAAATGGTGAAATGCTGACATTAAATAAAGACATGAAAAATATTTGGGTTTATTAATTTGACTATAGTACTAAATGCCATTTTTTCTTTTTTGATTCTGGAGTGATTTTTTCGGTATTTTATTTTTAATTAATTTCTGTACGTGAGCTTCAATCTTATCTGTTTGGCTTTCAGGATTTCTATAATTTGTTATATATCCTTCATTCATCATTCCTTCAATCTCAACTTTTGCTTATACAAATTATTTGTAGTTAATGATTTGGTTTCTAGTCCGAATACATCGCTATATTTAGTGCTTGATTCTAAATCTAATTGATAGTTGAATATTTTATAATGAAGTCGATTTCTAGTATTCCGTCACACTGAACAGCGAGTTCCAAATGTACAATATAAAAATTATGTGGGATTATTATATTTATCATTTTTTATTTCGACAAAAAGAAACAACTCCGATTTGGAAACTGTTCCACCAAAACTGTTCCGTCCAAAATAAGTAGTTGTTCCGAAAACCATTGATGGTGTACGCCAACTGATATTGGAAGGTCGTCATGTCGAAAGATTGAGACAACCATAGGCATTAGCGGGACCAACCTACATTCAATACTTCATGAACACTTGACCGTCAACAAAATTTGTACGCGTTGGATCCCACACAATTTGTCAATCGCTCAAAAAAAAAAAACTCGTGTTAATTACTTGAAAGAAATGCTCCAAGCACGTTCAAAACATCGTGACAGGTGATGAACCATCGAATTACGCGTATGAGCCCGAAACTAAACAGCAGTCGACTGTATCGGTGTTTCAAGATGGGCAAAATCGAACGCGCACGAATCACTTCCAAGCTAATAATCCCATTTTTTCGGAAAAGCGGGACATGTCGCAATCGTACCATTTGAACAACACAGAATAGTCAACTCTCAGTGGTACACAACCATTTGCTTGCCAGTTGTCTTCCAGGAAATCAGGAAAAGCAACCGTCGAAGCCGAATCATTCCTCATCGCGACACTGCGAGCTCTCACACATCGGCTCAAAGAACTGAATTTTTTAGCACTCAAAACACTCGATTTGTTGAGTCATCCGCCGTATAGTCCTGACATGGTACCCAATGACTTCTTTTTATTCCCGTACGTAAAAAAGAATGAGAGGGTAATGTTTTCCGACACCTGAAGACGCGGTAGATACGTTCAGAATGCATGTTTTGGAGATACCTCACGTGGAATCCATTTTATTAGTTTTTGGCTTATGTGAACGCTTAACAACACTCCGATGCGTCGCTTACACTTCTTATTTTTCTTTATTCGACTCGTCTAACCAAGAACTCGCCACCTAATGCCGCGCTTTGCTTATTCGCCTTTTGCTTATGCTC